CTTTCTCATAATCTTTGAGTGTCTACCTCAACGAAACGTTGTGCACATGCGTTCTTCGACGTAAAGTGATGATGACTGTCTTTTGCCAGCATAAACTGCAAACTTATTCTGATAAACAATAAGTAAAGGTAAGAGACTACTGGAGTGAAAAAGGGCTTTAATTTTCGGTATTAAACTAAAAATAGACGAGCATATCGATCAACGGTATAATATGCACTCAAAAGAGGCTTTCGTAAGTAGAGTTTTATAGGCTAATATGCCGACGGATATGGGCAAGTGCGCTCCACGGAATGAGACGGTTTTCGTCATAACGTCCATTCATTTGTTAGAATTGAATTGAAAACAATGAGGAATATAGCATCATGAGTTATGAAAAATAAAATCCGTCTCTAATAAGTGTTTTGGCAGGAAATCAATCGACTCAAAAGCCAAAAATAACTATTATAGGCTTCAATAATATAACAGTCAAACTTTATTTCTACTGACTCGAATCTGCAAAAGTAAGTTTTTACTTCTGTGTTCTATAGGTAATAGACGATCAAAATATTGACAAATTTTTTACCTATTGTACATGCACTTTAGAGAAGTGTTTTGATGATGAATTTTTCGTAACAGAAGGTGCGCATAATGCAGACTTGCAGCAAAAATTTTTTTTTTACTATACACCATTCGACAGAATTTTTTGAGCTGATCAAGAAAATGTCGTTGTTAATTTCTCGAAACTTTCTTTCCATGTCGATAAAGTTGGCTCCTTAGTCGGAACGTTCAAACTATTTTTTCTTATTCAGCGTTAAAGATTGAATTAAAAAATGATAATAAACCCATTTCGAAAGTAAACGTCTCTCCATCACGGATGTTCGAATGGACCACTTTGTAAATTTATTTAACCTAAATCGGAGGTGAAACGTCGGAATTCTGTCGGTAATTCTGAATTTTCTCATTCAAAACACAACTTTTGAGCAATAAAAACATCATATTACGAGTCATGATGAAAAACTGAGTCGATTAATGTACATTTCGGAATTTTTAGTTGATTTTCAGTTTTATGTGAAAATTTCAATAATTTTTCAACGTAAAAATCCGAAAAGAACTAAAGTAGTTGAATCGGAAAGAAATACATATGAGTCAAGTACGAATTTGATCCTGACTCGGAATATGATATTTTTATCGCTCAAAAGTTGTGTTCTGAATGAGAAAATTCAGAATTACCGACAGAATTGCGACGTTTCACCTCCGATTTAGAAAAACTGAATTTTCTCAACAACGAAAAATTTTAACAAAAAGCGAAGCATACTTTTAAAGCTGGACTCATGGCGAATATAATGCCATTGATACGACGGCTCCATCTCTTGACACAAAAATTAGATAAATTTACAAAGTGGTCCATTCGAACATCCATGGTGGAGAGATGTTTACTTTCGAAATGGGTTTATTATCATTTTTTAATTTAGTCTTTAACGTTGAATAAGAAAAGATAGTTTGAACATTCCGACTAAGGAGCCAAGTCGGAAACTCTAACGTTTTCGAATATAGTCGTTTTTTCTAGTATTTAGATCCTTCGCGTTTTTTCGATTTTTCGACACGAAAGAAAGCTTCAAAAAGTTAACAATTGCATGTGCTTGATCAGCTCGAAAAGCTCTATCGAATGGTGCATAACAAAATCGAAAAAAAGTTTGTTGTAAAATTTGCATTGTGCGCATTTTACAACAAATAAAACATACAAAAAAAACAAATAAAAAATACAAATTCGTCAAAAAAACAGAAAAAATTTGTCCCAAACAGGAAGAACAAAATATAGCTGGCAGAGTCATTATGACATCATAATCAGACGCTAAGGATGGCAGGAACTTTGCGTATTTGGTTTCAGCTAAGCATTCATTCGACGAAGTTTTTACTACAAGAAACATTACTAATAAGGGAGGAATCATAGGCATTTTTTGCTTTAAAACGTAAGCTATTATGAGTCAATTCAGCGTTTCTTCTTTCAGATCAGCTATGTCCTTTTTTACTTTTGTTTAATTAGTTGTTCATTCATTTTTCTATCTGTGCTATTTCCTCGTACATGTCTGGCAATATCCGCAACAATAATCAACAGCAATGGAAGTGTGCTAAATGTACAACGTTAAATCACATATCCCTGTCAGAATGTGAGGTATGTGGCTACCGAAAAAACGACGTAAAAGGACAAGCTAGCACGACAGGGTCTCTCCGCTGTCCGAGATGTAAAACTGAAAATTGGTCATTCATGGCTGAATGTGCCGGATGTGGTGCATCACTTACCACTGAGTATACCAAAAATCAAATTGTACCCGCAAAAACAGCAACGATCATAACGCCCAAACCAACGCGGCAAGAAGTAAAGGCAACTGCAGCAACACAACCAGGTAAATTTATGCGTTTTAAGTTTCTTAAGAGAGCGTTCACCGGAGTACCTGGCGATACACAAGAACGAACGTTCCATCCACCAAAGAACACATGGTATTGTGCATTGGCACTGTTGTTTTTCTTCTTTTCTATAGCAGTAGAAGTTTAAAGTCCTACCGAGAGGTTGCTAGCCTCAAGGTAAGACGGTTGGCTGCCGGCAGCCCAGGGTCCTCATTGTTTAGAAACCCTGTGTGAAGTCGAAAAGCCACCCGGCAGAATTGCCACCCCTATTGAATTAGCCACCACTTTCAGTGATTAGTGGTGTACAGTCCTTCCCCGTTGTAGCCTCAATTTCTGCCGGTGCTGCCATCGTCTCGTCCAAACCTCCGATGCGATTGATCGAGAAGGCGATGAACGATCATGAATTGAAATGGTACTATGCTCAGCACCAATGGGTGATGATATCACTGAAACAACACTCATCGAGTATTGATATCAGACGTGTCCATTCACTTATTGAACGGTTGTATATGTCAAATGAATATAAACCCGATTTGCATCAACCATTGGGCCAACTTCTGTTCAACACTTGCCAGATTTGCCTCGACTCTCAATCGCAGCCACTTGTGGAAATGACTACATGTGGCCATCGAATGATATGTCGTAGTTGTTATCAACAATATTTATCCGTTCGAATCCGGGATGGTGAGGTGATGCCGTGGCTACCGTGTCCCGGCGAAGTGTGTCCAATACCGTTGTCGTGCCAAAATTTGATTCACGATGGACAACTGAGTGTGGAACAGTTACTTGAGTTTTGTCAAGTTTATATGAATAAAAAATTGAACAGAAATGGAAATTTTGTTCAATGCAAAACTCAATCATGTCTTGGTGGCTTTTTACAATTCGGAGAGCCGAAAACCGAAAAAGTGAAATGTCAAGTATGCAATCAAAAACAAACAATAGAAAAAGGTAAGAAAAATACTTTTTTTCAAATCATTTAATTATTTCGCTTAAACAAGTAAAATCACTGTTGAATTAGAACTACTGAGCTATAGAAAAAAGAATAATCAAAATCAATACTAAACTAGAAGAGAAAAAACGATTTTCATTATAAAACTGTTATCGAAAACCGAATCTTCCGTGTAAGGAGTTTACTCGTCCTTGTTTGCGCTCAAACTTTGCCCAAATATTCTAAAAGCCATGGTGCATTTATAGAATTACTATACGTTCCAAAACACAAGGCCATTGGTTACTTTTTAAATAATTCAAAAGAACTAAAAGATAGAGACTTGCGGTTTTCATCATTCGCTAGCCAAGATCTGTAACTATACTTTCATAAACAAAACCGAATTTGAAAAAAGTTTCAAGACCGATTTTTTCAGGAGATCTGTAGACAGCCAGTTCGATTCTCTGAACTGACATAGAAATCTACGGACTTTTTGTCATAGATATATAGTCCGACGTGTCCTCTACAAAACTGGATCCAAGCGATATCTTGGAAATCCATGGTTCCGGAGCTATGGACGTTTTTCCTGAAGCCTTAGCACTCCTCTGCCGTTAGGCGTGGGGCTGTCAGAAATGAATGAAAACATAGGTTGTCAACTATGCTAAATCTTACAACAATGTTAGTTTTCAGAACAAACTGCAAGAACCGAATGAAAACGTATGCTAGCCGAAATAACCCATTTTTTATTGGCAGCTATTTTTTTGCTAAGTAGTTTTATTAAATGCTAAGTTAATTTTTGTTAATTCCTACTTTAGTAAGCCATATTTTTGTGTGCCTTGGGGCAGTTGTGGGGGTAGATGCGTGGAGAGCATGAGAGCCACTAAACCACATTTCTGCAAAAAATATAATTATTTTTAATAAATTACTTAGAAAAAAATAACTTTTTATTTAGCATTTAATAAAAACTACTTAACATTTAAATTGGGAGCCTTTTTATTGATTTTATTGAAAATTAAAAAATTCATAATTTACTCGAAATCTATCCAACCTGCTTTGGAATTTCAGAAAATACTCTATTTTACCTGCAGCATATCCTAATATCGTAAAGCTCAATAAATGTTGATAAAACCAATAGAAAACACTTTAGTTTCTAGAAAGGTTTCCGGAACTAAGAGAACATATTTTTATTGAGTTTGCGTACAGAATCAGAATGAGCAGATGAAATAGAGTATTTCCTGAAAATCTAAAGCAGGTTAGATGGATTTCGAGTGAACTATGAATTTTTTAATTTTTAATAAAAGTAACAAAAAAGGCTTCCTATCATCTCGCCATGTTCCGAAAACCTTGTCTTTTGTTTGAGCCGGGTAAAAGCTATTTACATGGCTTTCGCATCAAAAGAAAAAGACTAGGCTTTCGTAACGATTTTCTCCAAAAACACGGCTTTCGAACAGAATTTTACAGGGCTTTCGTAACCCAATGTTTATAGTGTAATAGTTAACGTCGCAGATATCTGACCAGCAGGGCTTTTGTAAGAGATTTTTACAGGCCTTTCGTACCAGAGTGTCTACGAAAATACAAGGCATTCGTAACAAAAGTCTTTCTCTAGTATTGCATGTCCACAGGATTATAAGAGCGCTTAGTTCTAGACTTTTAAGCTTTATTTTCCGTCAAGATCTTTGTATCAGCTGTTGAATCATCACACAAAAGCATGGACGACAATTCAAACCGATTCCTATTTTCCTTTATCGGATTCCATGTGCCTGCATAATGGTGTCCATGGTTTTCCTTATCTCGGTGGACCCCCTTAACTCGTGCCCACGGTGTTTATATAAACAATTCATTTTCCAAATGGTACACTGAAGGTAGAAACCTCTGAGGATTACAAAAGGCTCCAGATACTTAGGTGGGGATAGACGCCGTTGATGAACGCTCACTGCGGCCACGAAGCTAAACGACATTCCAAAGTGATCTTTCTCAACTTTTTACACCAAACATAGAAAATTTTCGTTTTTCAAGAATGTAAAAGGTGCTGTACAGATAACGAGAATTTTTCTCAGGCATACGTATGAGTAGCCATTTTTTATAATAAAGCAAGTCTTCTTTTTGTTTTGCTCATGTGTATCTGCTGAAGTTATCGAAATTGAGATTTAGAGAAATTCGATTTATGCATTACATTATTGAATCACGAATACGTTTGCTGAACTTCAAATTAACGTTTTCAATTCGCGATTCTTTTGAGATAATTAAAAATGTAAGTGACAGAAAGAAACAATGGTTTAGATAGAGCTGAAAACCATTGTGAACGTTTTAAAGTAGTCTGCAATCGTTTTGTTTAAATATTCGTCCTTAATTCACTAAAACGCAGTGTTTTTGACTGTTCCTTTAGAATCTTTTTGGAGTTTCCTCAAAGACAAAGTAGTCTGAAGGTAGGAAAATCATTCTTTGAGCGATTTTTAAAATACTCTTTTTTTTAGAGGATAATAAATCTTAAATATCCCGCTTAGTTTATCAGGAATGCGGAAGTTATTGTAAAATTTGTGCTCTGACACTTCTTTGCTTCGGAAAAGTCGGCTTTTCTTAACAAAGAACTAGTATTCTGTTTCATTATAACGCCATATGTAGTTCAGCATGCTCTCTATAAAGTACGTCACTGCTATATATTAAACAAAAAGTTTGAATTGAGTTTTGCTACGTGAAGATCAGAAGAAATCCGGGAAGGTAGAAACCTTCCCTGATTTCTCAAAAAATGGTCTCTGAGCAAAATAGAGGTTTTTGGAACGGAAACGTATCAGAGTGTCGCATGGGCCGTGTCAATCATAGCATGGCTTAATACTTATGTTGTTCATTTCGTACTGTAAAGTTTTAAGGATAAACTTCGATACCATCAAGGTATGTAATAACCTTGGACAAGTCACTTATGTCCATCTGCCTCTCGGATCAACGATCATATATTACAATTATCACGCTGTGCCCAACAACTATCCATATAATCTGTGGTTCTAAACGAAGCCAGTTTCCGCCACAATTTGAGCGAACAACAGTATAGTAGTGGTACATTATAATATCAGGACACCATCAGATACAATCGTGCAATAAACTAACAGTTCATTTCAGCTTCTCCATCCATTTTCTCTGAAGCCTCCAAATAGTTAGTGTGTGTATGAGGAACTCAAGCAATTGGACGAAAAATGTCTGCATCAGGTTAGACGTCTGCGTTGGGTTTGAGGTAATTAATCTCAAATCGGAATTTCAGGAAATTTAGTATTGGAAATAGTCTAGATATCATTCTGATAATTTTTACTCTAAAAGTCTCGATTCTGTCCAGAGACGATTTTCTACCTTACCCATCTTTCCTCTTTCATTTCTTCTGATATTAGCGCAGTAAAATTTAGTTCAAACATTTTTCCGAAATATAGCTAAGGCAAGCTAACCGTATTTTGTCCGTAGAAAACTGTGCATGTTCTCAGACATTCTTTCAAATTTTCTGCGTTTTCCCTTTTTATATTTGCTAGCATCGAAGTTTTTTCAACTATTATTGATATTTTTATGTTAAACTCTCTAGGTAAGGATGGCGATTTAGATGATGAATTTAAAAAGATGGTTCAAAAAGGTCTTTTACGTGAATGTCCATCGTGCAAACAGCTGACAATGAAAGAGAAGGGTCTGTGCAATGTTATTGAATGTTGTAAATGTTCAGTCTGGTGGAAGTATGTTGTTCACTCCCCTACTTCACTTCCTTACCCTTCTTTCTACTTCAGTTGGTCAACAAGAGAAATGGGACATGATGGACGAGATTTAAAAGAGCGTATGTATTTTTTTTGTTCATCATGAGAGAGTGTAGCCGCTGATTGATTGAACTGTAGGTGCACGAATGAACGGGACATTGTGGGAGCCCGGAGAACTAGCATATCAACAAGATTTACAACGACGAAATCCAGAAGAATTCAAAGCTCTGTTAGCAAGAAACGGGATTCAGTATGATCCAAATTATGTTCGAGGCAGAAGATCCTAATGAGTTTTTTCTTAAACCCAACGTTATACTGACTTTTACTTTGTTGTTAGACAGATCTTTAATATACTTAAATTGTCATTTTTTTAACGCTGAAGATGGAGGGTCCAGATCATTATTAGCAACAGAATAAACAAGGATATAAAACCCACGCAGAAATTAATAAAATAGCAATAATTTCTCCCTAAATTCTTACAGAAGCAAAATACAAAATGCAGGTTGTTCTTTTTGACTTTTAGACGGTAAATCAAAAGTAAAGTTTTCTGATATTTTTGAAAACTACAGGGAGTCATAAGGAGTAGAATATTCATATTCACTATCCTAAAACCACGCCGATAGGTACGTCATCTCCCACCAGCACCCCCAAATTGCCTGAGACCAACCTCGATCTATAGAGCGTGCCAGATTCAAGGGGGAAACAGCGGTATTAATATCAAAAACAAATAGCGTACACATACTACTCACATACCCAAATACCAACTGATTTTGTGTTCAAAAGGTAGACATAACTAAAATGTGCATTTTGTTCAGTTTTTTACGCCCATCCCACTAAAGTACAGGGTTGCGAGAAATGTTTTGCCCGGGGGGTTTAACTCCAATGACAAATGATATCGATTTTGAATTTTATACCAAATGAATGCTCGTGAAAAATGGAGTTAGCAGGTATAGTTGGTAACGTGATCGATAGTCATTGACTATAGGTTTACTGGAAATTTTAGGATAGGGAAGGAAACACGACAGAGAAAACTTTTTTTCAGAAGATATTATTTGAAATTTATTTCACTTTAAACTGATAGATTTGTTAATGTTTATTCTTTTTGAAGTTCATTAGCATAATCAATAATCTGTGTGACCGCCGTTCACTTTTTCACAGCACGTAATATTGAGGGGTATGAACATAAAAGGTTTTCAAAAAGTTCTGTGTCTGTTTCCATGTTTTGTAAAACATCGATGATATGCTTTTTCAATGTTTCTTCGCTATACTGATCACTTCCAGTCTCTGACAGCATTCTTTTCTCAACTTCAGCTTTGATTATTGTTCCAATGTGTTCAGCTACGTTTAGATCAGGTGAATTTCCGGGCCAGATATTGTTACCCCAAAACTTGATATTATTGTCTTTTATCAATTGTTGAGTCATATTTGCTTTCATACACGGTGCTTTATCGTGAACAAATATGACTTCATCCACGTGAATCACGTTTTCTTCATTTTTCAAGAAAGGAAACACGTGTTGAACTAAAACTGTGTCACGAAAATATTGACCGGTCCAGGATTCGCCTTTATCTCGCCTTTATCTAGAAATTCACTTCGTTCTATATAGGTGACAATAGTCTATCGGATTATTAACTGTACCTGTTAACCCCATTTTTCACGAGCTTTCATTTGGTATAAAATTCAATATTGATATCATTTGTCATTGGAGCTATACCCCCCGGGTAAAACATTTCTCGCAACCCTGTAAAGACAGATAGTACAGAAAAAAACATCTGGTTTGTAATAGTATCTTCTATCCAGATTTTCTTGAAGCTTCACGACTAAAATCAGATGACTTCAGGTAGTCTTGAAGGTGCATAAAACATACGTAATCAAGCACGCTGAATCCGATGGTAATGTTTGGTTTTAGATAAGAGCTCAATAAAAAGGTAAAAACCGAGTTTTATAAAAATTAGGGTTACCACACTGTTTTCACCTAATATTAAAATAGTCACAGCTCACTCAGAAACATCAGGACAAGTTGGAAACTTCAGGAAGTACGGAATTCAGGTTATTCTATATTCTATTTATACAAAAGCCTAGGAAAAAAGATGCTAAAATCATACGGTTTTCCGAAGGATTTTCTAGAAAACTTTCGTACAGAAACATTATTTTCAATTTCTTTTGATCAGATAATTACGTTAAACGGATAAAACTAATATTATCTTGAAGTTTTCAACTCGTCCTGAAGATTTTGAGTGAACTCTGAATTTTTTAATATTAGGTGATCTATCCACTACTTGTCTGTTATACTGCTTTAGATATTTTAGCCCAGAAGTTTTCGGTACTGAAAGCTATTACGAGAAGTTTATTTGCGCAGTTTTTACCTGTTTTTGGAGAAAAAACATACCGAAGGAAATGCACGGATAGTTTCGAACAAAGAGTCATTTTGGAAGAGGATGAAAAATACTGGTTACATACTGAAGGTACTTTTTGCATACCGAAGTCACTGTTTCCCCTTGGGCAAATCATCCTACACTAACACCCACTTGAATCTAAATCTGAGGCATCCAAAGTCGAATATTACCACCAACACCGAAATTGACGGGTATTTGCATCCGCTGAGTTACCTATAGAAACGTACGTACATCGCATACTTGAAACCTATGTTCTTTATCATCTACTTCATCGGAGGAACATCCTTAGAGAAGTAAGTTAAATTGCTATTGATACCCACCTCAGAATACATCTAGATGTCTGATTTCAGACATGTTGAGTAGAATCGAATCGAACCTTTTGGATTCAAACATTTTATTCTGAATCAAATCCGGTTTTTGTGATTCGTTAAACGAATCGGAAATTCGGGTTCTGTGAGTCGGAAGTTGCAGATGGATCCACTCAGTAAAGAAAATCATTCTCGTCCGTTGTAACAAGTTATGAAATATAAACTTGAGAACTGAATATTTGATAAGGGCATGTATAGAGTTAAGAATTAAAATGGTGAGAAAAACAATATCTGCTTAAAAGACATTTTACCAAGATGACAAATTCTTCTTACTCCGTCTGTTGACTGATCTCTCCCGCAAAACACAATATCCTGGATGTATGATCCTTTAAAAATTATGTACTCTCTCGTTGACATAAAACATAAATAACATTAATTCATACAACTAACGAGGGCAGGTCCCCAACTGTCCGATCGCTTCGAGCCGAAACCTAATGGACTATAGGTAGTCGACCATGTTGATTCCGAATATCAACATGAGACGTGCTGCTAGGCCTCAAGAGAGTGGTTTTCTGGAAAACCAGTTTTTCAGAAACTCTAAAAAATAACCAAAACCTTTCTTAATGATGCATGATTGTAGTCCCAAAATTTCTGATTAAAATGAGACCTCTCCCAGCTCTACATGA